TTTCAGATCTGTTTAGTTCAAAGGTTAATGCGAAAGACTTGGATGTTAATTTTGTAACAGGCTGTCAGATATGAAGTGAATTAATCTATCCGAGAGACAGTAAAATGCTGTCTGTAAAACCTAAAGGTACATTGATTTTAATGACCAAGCCCTCAAAACTTTCATCTGGATTTGATGAAACGAATATATATATATATATATATATATATATATATATATATATATATATATATATATATATATATATATATATATATCATGAACTCATCATTACTATTTATAAATTAAGTCGACAAAGGAACATGTAGGTCCACTGTAGACAACACTGGGTCTCCTTTAGTGAAAATAATCTCTTTCTTCCTCATTGTAATAACAGAACTGAAATGACACTCACTACTTCAAGATGATGGAAAAACTGCAAAGTAATCACGCTTCACTGTGATCAGCTAAATAATAGAAGCTGGGAAGATAGAAGAACCATGTTTAAGAGATCTACACAAACTAAAATTTTGATGAGTCAGTTCTGATAAAATTTATCGTTTCAATTTGCCCAAGCAGTTTTTTATATCTTACTAAGAACCTAAAAAGTAAATTTTAACAAAATTCTGACTAAAATTCAATTTTCTATGGATAATCAGATCAATAGACAAATAGGTTTGATCATCCATGTTTTGTTTTAAGTTATGGTGAATCTTCTATAAAGAGTTTGAAAGTCAAAATGTGATAAATCTGTCGGTGATTTGAGAAGAGAAAATGGTGCTTTTGAAATTCGCAATGATGAGACATTTTACTCAATACAGCTGTTTAAAGATAAAATAATCATCTGTAGGCTAAGTAAACAATTTTAACACAGGTTTGTAATTGTTTCGGAAATCAGCACTGAATTTCTCATAAAACCTTGCGAAACTGAAAGAACATCCACATGAAAATCAAGTAGGTGAAAGGTTCACACTGTAAGGCTAAAGAGTAATTGTTACTATTGTTTCTGTTTTAAAAAAAGTTAAACACGTCTCTTATAAACTATTAAACGAAAACGAAATTAGTATTTCATAATACCACAATTCAGTATGCTGCAATCATCCATAAAGTATGTAATCTCAAGGTTCACCCTAACCGTATCAAGTATAAAACCCTAGAACGATTGTTTAGCCAAACCATTGAGACTTGAGAAGGCGACGAGTAGACTAAAAACACTTTTGACGATTTTATTATGAGAAAAATGAGGGTTAACTAGATGGTTTTGATCAAGAGATCCTATTATTAAATACATAGTGTTTTAAGAAAGTAAAAAAATTCAGTAAAAGCTTATTTTATAAATTTCGGGGTAGCACAGAATAGGATGGCAAAATATGGGCATGGATTCAGAAGGCTCGACCGACTTTTGACAACTTAGGTCACTTGTAGCGTAGTAGAGATATCCATCTATCAACCAGAGAATGAGTTTACTGCCCATCAGTTCGTTCCGTTCTACTTTATGGATGTGAAACATGGCCATTTAGAACAGAGAATAATCGTAGGTTACTAGCATTCGATTATAGGTATCTTCGAAGCATTGCTTCTGTATTTTGGGACCACTGAGTTACCAATGCCTGCGTTAAAAATATAATACTAAGTAAGCATAGCGAATCGATTGATGAGGTAGTGAATCTTCAATAACTGAGGTGGTTGGAACATGTGTCATGTAGGTCAGTAAATATGATCCTGACCTATCAAATAAGCCGATCGATCTTCAAAATTATGCTTGAACACTCAAACTCTTTCCCGAAATATAGTGGTTTGGGGCTGGTGTTGTTTTGGACATTGTAAGTTTATATTGAATATCAAAACAAACTTGATTAAATACTTTTTCAGTTCGTCTTAGTCCCTTTTATTGCCATCATTATGAAAATTGGACAATGTGGACATTTTGCTAAGACTTCGGAAAATCTTGATTTTGATGTAGGATGTAAGTTAGAAATGTTGAGTTGTTGTCCATGTATAGCATTATCAGCTGACTATAAAGTTTACCACCATCGATCTTAAGTTGCGTTCGATTAGCGTTTGTTGAAGCATCAAAACTGTCTGGATAAGTTACTGGTGAAAAACCATCAGCAACGCTAGTAACTATCTGTCCTACTTTTAAAAAGAACAATAGAATGTGGGTTCAATTGGACAATCTATCCCATTTGTGTTCTTAATTAAGGAGACTTTGTTTTGAACTTTATACACAACATATATCAAACGTTATCCAAAGTTTGGGTACAAGCAACAACTGCATGTTTCAAACATAAACATATAAGTTAAGATGAACTAGATAATTACTAAATTAATTTATTGGGCAGTTTTACAACTTCATTATGCTAAACAAGTGTATGCATTGCCTTGAGTAATGTTTTAAGGCACATATATCCTGGTTATCAGTTTGCAGCAAAACGTTCTAAATAAGAATATATCACAAATGGATTTACAGACTGCAGTTGAATTGCATATATCTAGCCGCTAGGTGAGGTGTTGGTTGGATGGTGTTTTTTGGCAGAACAATTTTCTGATTCATGACCTCAGCTTACCAGTGACATTGTATTTAAGTGACATTGTGATCTGAATCATGGTTCAAACAGCGTAAAATTACTCATAAAGCCGATTCTATCAAATTCTGGCATCTTGAACAATGCTTCTGCTTCATTTATATAATCTTATTATGTAAATAATTGACCGATCGGAGGAGAGAGAGAACAAGGTAGAGACTTCTGCAGAATAATATGCTTGTATGAAGACAGAAATCGGGAGGAGGAGTACAAGATGACTTATATCCATAAATTAGGAACAATTTGAAGAAATTAAATGTGGACTGTAAGATGCCGGTGAATGAGTACTTCTTTTGAGTTACTAAGTTGACCAAAACTAAGGAGGTTCATGCAAGATTATAAACATCTACCGGGCAACTATTTCTAAAAATTTAGACACTACTGCAATGATATAGCATGACCAGATAACATGCACAGAGTAGCGAAGTGTACATTAACAAACTATCCAAAGTCCCATAAAAAACATGTTAAGGAATGGCGTTAGATGAACATGTAAGATATAAAGGTTTATAAGAAAAGAACAGCCAATTTGATTTTCTTGTCTGAAGTAGTAAGTATAAAAGGATGAATGGTTTTTAATACGGTCAACAAGTAACATTAAAGATACACGAGCGGTAAGACAAGAGATAAGTGCTTTAATTTTATATTTTAAGTGCGGTCAAATTCTATAATCGTTATTGTATATGTTCCTTCATAGCGTCAACAAACAACAAGAAAGGTAACCTGCGATCCTGGTTAGATCACTCGTATAAAAAATAAGTGGTAAAGGTTCAAAGGCTGTACGTTGAAGAAATCAAATTCTCATCGATTATTTTGAGGATAATGTATGATTTGTTTCTTCCTGTTCTCATCTACCGCCCTCCTACATTGTATTTGGTTCTTAAACATTTTGATCTCCAAGCTGACTTAGACGAATTAGTTAGATGGACTCGAGGTTGGGGTTTAAAAGTTAATTCTAGTAAGAGTGTGCTCGTGCACATGGTACTAGTTACCAGTATACTATTGACAGTATATCTCTTCCACGCGTTCATGAAGATAAAGACTTGAAAGTAATAAGAAGTCATAAATTGAAAAATACTACGCATTGCAACGCAGCTGCTGCCAAAGGTTATCGTGAGTTATGGTCACTTCGCCGAGCATTCAAATGCTCTGACGAGGAAATGTTTAGAATTTTATATACCAACTATGTAGGATTACATTTAGAGTACTGTGTACAAGCAGTTAGTCCGTGTCTGACAAAGGATGTTGACTCATTTGAGCGTGTTCAGTCTATGGAAACAAGGGTCTCTCTAAAATCCCTTACGATGAGCGCTTAAAACGCTTAAACCTTTTCAACTTGTCGTATCATAGGATGCAAGGTGACCTTATACTGGGGTTTCGAATCTTGAATCATGATTTAGGTGTTAATGTGTCTTATCTGTTTGCTCCCTCCAGCACTAATAATCTCCGAAGTCATAGCAAGAAGGTTCACAAACCGCGATTTAATAAACCTAAAAAGAAGACCCGTTTTTCTCATAGAGTAGTCACTAACTGGAATGCCTTATGCAAAAAAGTGGTATCAGCCCCATCAGTGAATATTTTCGAGGCAAAACTGAACCTTTACTGGAAGGCAATCTGTCAAAATTAACACAGTTTCACCAACTTACAGTCCTTATTAGTGAAGACAAAGTTAAGACTGATGTTCCTCCAACTCAAGCAACCAATAAAGCGGAGATAAAGACGAACAAAGAGAAAATAAAGAGGACGAAGGCGTGAATAAAGGAGAAATGTCGCTTTTTCGCCTTCACATCGGTTATTTAGAGGAAATGGTCTTTAAATACCACGTGCTGGACCATACATTGGACTGTAATAAAGTCTATAGATACAACATTCACGAGTCTACCGACATTTGTAGCCGGACGTTAGCTGGCTTCAACAGAGTACAATAATCAAACATTAATGAATCACTTTAAAGTTGTGCGGTTCATTTCTAACAAGAACTCGTGTTGAGAGTGAACGAGTTTACTTGGGAGTTAGGGCAGGATTTCGATCCTATCCAACAAATTTTAGACGTCATTGGTTTCAAAATGATCAACTGTCGTAAGTTTCCCTTCAAAAAATCCAGTAAAGCCACTTTCATATGCGTTTTAGAAAGTATGGCCTTCTTTTCTCGCTTTTGAAACATGAGATTATTTATGAAAACGTGTTTCCAGGCTGTCACAATCACAACTTTTAAAAATAACATCCTAGATAGTAATAACAAATGAAACCTACTGTTATTTTCGCTGTAAATCAACAAGTTTAAAATACCACGCATTTTATTGTTTATGATTTGACGCGTTTAAACAAAACTATGACAATAAATTCGCCACCAAAAATATTCATTGAAGTATGAAAATAAAGATCCGATTTGGGAATAAATTCGTAATCCGAATTAAACTCGAAACGCAACAGTCTATTACAATGACCCTGTTTGGATATTCAATAAATCACACACTTGGCTGTTTGACGGATGTTCGGTCTCTATAGAGCAACAATTTTTCTATGCATATTATTTTTGTTCCAAACTTACTCACAACGTATTCAGGTAATATATGAGGGACAGAATGTTGCATTTTATTGTAATGCTACCGGTGGCTCCAAAAATGATTACATACACTACCAATGGGAGGTAAATAATCGTGATCTAATAGCCACTGATGCCTACTTTCATATAAGAGGCATCCAGAAAAGTGATGAGGGTGAGTATAAATGCATCGCTACTCAATATATAAATGGGACTCCTATCGTCGCAACTGAATCCACATTTATCAGTGTTCGCAAAGGTGAGTAATTTGACTTTTTTTAATGTTCTTGTAAATACGCTTTTGTGTCTTCAGTACTATTTAAGTGTTCACAAACATCGTAGTGAGTTTCATCCGAACAATTCTTTTTCCAACTGATGTGATCTCTGTAGAAACCCTCGAAATCATTATAAACTTCTGGACAGTCTTTTTATCTATCTGTAGGTTACACAATTTTTTCAGCGATTAGATAGCAGTTTTCTAATGCGTCTTTTTACTTTAGTTTTTCATTAAACCCTTCCACTTACCAAGAAATTAACGTTTGATTATTTTTATTGAAAATTTCGATAGAAACTCCTTTTTTTCAAATATTTCATTTGAAAATCATGTCACTCCGTTTTAGACACTCCATACATTACAGTTTTTGATAAACCAAGGATTCTAGAATTTATTTTTAATATGATTCAATAAGATTAAAACTCACTGGGGTTTCATTAATCAAACCAACTAGGTTTATTATACAGGAATATTTTGGAAATCTCTATTGTTTCTGTACACTATTTATTTGAGTAGAAAACAATTCTTATGTCAAACCGATTTCCTAATAGCCGTGAATTTTAAATGTTGAAATCGTATATGTAATTTTTCTCCAAATTTGTTAATTCAAAAAGTCATTATTCAAATCTTAATACTTAAAAGACATATGAAACTAGTGTTTAGCTTTTCCGACATCTAAGTGTTTATGTTATGATAAAGCGCAATTTCTCAAATTTTTTAAACCAATGAAGCATTATATTTTGTATTGTGAACTGATTGGTTGTATAGAACATTACTCAAATATAATCGACAAACAACATAATCAAAATATTGCCGGTTTATTGTTATTTATTTCTTAAGTAACTGAGGAGTAATACAGGGTAAATTTATTTATAGAATGACAGTTTAAAAACTAAAGTTGATTTTGTTGTAAACGTACATAAACTTTGAATTTCATTTTACTCTGACATTTTACTTATCGACGTTCTAAATATCTATCATTGGAGAAGGTACAATATAGGGAAGAATGGATTTTAGTAGCTTTAAATTAGCTAGAATTATTAGATAATATACATTAAGAACTTTTATGAAGTCTATATATCACAATTTCAAGTAATCAACATTCATAAAAATCATTTGAATTTAATTATGTTGATTAAGGTTGATAATTTACTTCAATAGAATGAAAAAGTTCTTGAACGGAAGCAAACAAATGAATTTTCTTTTATTATGAACTAGTTTTTACCATTTAAACAGGACTTATAAACAGATTAAAAAGTGCAATTTGTAATGATTTGAATTATTCCGTGGTTGATATTTTCTACTGAAGTTTGATTAATCTTGATTGGCATATGTACATCATATGTGGATTGCCTCGATATATCCATTATGTTAGAAATTATGCGAATATCACGGATATAGTTTTTACAACTAAATAAATTTTTATTTAATTATTCTTAAGTGTTCCTATTTTATGACTTAAAATGTATATTTATATATCCACAAACCCTTCTGATATAAATCAACATATGCTCACTAGTGACTGGCTTCAAGAGGTATGTCCTGGAGTTCCAGTGAGAAGTCGTTACCAGTGGAGTTCAACCAGGTCTGTTGTGAGATAGTAACTCACAGAAGACAATGGTGTACTGTGGCGCAACTTCGTGGATTGGTTGAAGTTAGACATTAACACCATTGGATACCGGTTCAGTGGTCTAGTTGGTTAAGCGCTTGGCGCGAGACTGATAGATCGTGAGTTCGAATCCCGCGGGGAGTGGGATCGTGGATGCGCACTGCTGAAGAGTCCCACACTAGGATGAAACGGCCATCCAGTGCTTCCAGGTTTCCCATGGTGGTCTAGCTTCAATTGACTCATGGTTTCAACAAGTGAAATTTCTAAAAAATCTCCACAAAACCCATTCTTATAAATTATTCTTATTGAAAATTCAAAATCATTTTATCATTGAAATAAGTTGATTATTTGACTTGTCAGTTATAACAATTAAATAAATATTATTCCTATAGGATTTATAGCTTTTACATATTTTCAGCGATTGCAGACTTATTATAATAAGTAAAAAATAACTATTGATTGTTCCAAACAAAGTGAATTAAATGTATCCTAATACTAATACAATGAACAAGTGTCTGCTTCCAAATAACGTGTACCAATACAGTTGCTTGAAGATTTTACGAATACCTGATCAACTAATGAATAGTCATTTTAATTAGCCAGTCTTTTTATGTAATAATCAGTATAATGATAAATTATCTAAATTATTAAGAAAAATATCAGAAGCTTAATTCTTTCTCTTGTTGTTTTTTGTCATCAAGATGTAATCGATTCTAATGTACAAATCACTATGATTAAGCATACTAAACTAGAACAAATGAATTTACACTAAATAAAATTCTATTATATTCAGTGATTCCTATGAAAGGTAAAAAGTCTACCATAAATAATTCTAATACGAATCCATAGAAAATAGATCACATCTGTAAGTTTAATTCATTCCTATGATTAAATTTCATATTTAAACAAATCTATATCTATTCCTCTTATTTACTTACACATTGTGAAGGAGCATAGGCCGCCCACTCAACACTGTTCTGGGCAATCTTTTGAAGTTCTTTCCAGTTGTTATTCATTCTTTTCATATCTGCTTCCATTTCCTGACGTAGTGTGTTCTTTAGACTTCCTCTTCAAGGTTTCAAGTTGAGGCTTGCTTCGTGATACAATTTGATGATTTCTTCAATGTATGTCCTATCCACTTCCAACGTCTTTGCCTAACTTCCTCCTCAGCTGCAAGTTGGTATGTTCTCTCCCAAAGTAGGATGTTGCTGACGGTATCAGGTTAACGGACATTCAGTATCTTACGTAGACAATTGTTTATAAATACTTGTACATTTTCGGTGATAGTTGTAGTAGTTCTCCAAGATTCAGCTCTATACAGTAGAACTGTCTTGACGTTCTCATTGAAGATTCTGACTTTGATAGTAGTTGACAGTTGTTTTGTGTTCCATATATTTTTCAAATGTAGGAACGCGGTCCTTGCTTGACCGGTCCTCTCCTTTACGCCTACATCCGATCCCTCATATTATATCTAATCTTCAGTTGAGCTATAGTATACATTTTAGTATTTGTGAAAAAGTAATGATACCTTCTGATGAGTTACACCTGGTTTATTTACACTTTCTCGTTAATCATAAGAACCATAGAAGGTCATTTAATGATATTATATTCGAAATAATTGATCATGGGAAAGTAAATTACTTTGGAATCATTCTAGAGATTAAAGGTTAACAAAGATTTTGAAACAATAACAAGTATAAATATTAGAAACTATCATTTAAGTAAAATTGTGTATGTTGAGATGCGTAATTTACACAAACTCGTTAAATGAAATTGGTAATTGTTGTATTTACAATGAAACTTAACTGATTTGTATGGTTAATCTGGCAATTCTTAAAGTGACACTTTTTTTTTTACCTCAAAGTGTATTATTTCAATGATAACAAAAACTTTTCAAGAAGAGCCTATGAATATTATTCTTAACTTTTCTAAGATTTATTATTATCAGTATGACCAGAGCTATGATCGTAACTAAGTGCTGTAGTAGTATGTTTGATTGAAATGTTCAACTATCTTAGCCTATTAAACACAAATTATTTGGAACTTATGCTTCGAATTTTATTCTTTGAACAATTTAAGTATGTTTGTACAGTACAATCTCACCTATTGCTTTATGTTATTCCGGATTATCAATAAATGATATAATTTACTTTAATGGCTTCATAATGAGCTAAATGTTTTGTGTTACTGTGATATTTAAAAGTATTCGAATGATTATATTAACTAGAAATCCCCCAAAACAACTCAATTTAGGTGGGTGAGAACTAGGTGAGCACAAACAAACGTATTAAATTTGGAGTTCGAAATCGGGCACCTATCAAGTACTAAAAAAACCATTAGTTCATACAAACACCACAGCTACTTATCACTATTTCATGAATTTTAGATCTTTAGAAAATAATGAACTGATTTTATAGTAAACTTTAACATGTGAATTTATCACAACTCCTCAGATTTTGTATCACCAAAAACACTTGAATATGTTAAAAGTTTCACATAAAACTAAATCAGAAGTGTTTGTAAAATTACTTTCATCCTCAGTGGATGAAAAATCGAGCCCAAATGTATTACCGTGGTGTGTGCTACTGATGTAGACAGACATAAGTAGTATATAACATCAATCAAAAGTTGATTGGCTGACAGTATAAGGTTAGGAAGATCGAGTCGAAGAGGACGGGAACAATAGCAATGAAGGAACAATAAAATGTAAGACAGTTGATAGAGGATTTGCAAATGAAGCATTTAATGTGTGGTTCTGATATTTTACCAAGATATTCTGTAACTTTGCACCAAACTATAAGTTGTTTGTCCCCACTTGAGTTCTCGTTCATTACAGTATCACGAAATATTCTGGATCACTTTATATACGTTTAAACAATTATAGTAGGAGTGGATTTGATCGTTGTAAATAAGTTAACGGTAAATATCATGTATTCTATTAACTGTTACAAATTTTTTTACATAGCATCCGTTTTCAGGATTTAGCAATAAAAACTTAAATGTAGTATGTAACATTCAGACATATAAAGGCAAGTACGTGAAATTGACTAAAGAGGTTAATAATCTCAGTTAGAAACGTCAGCTACTGATTTGTAGATTAGTGAGAAAAATAATAAATGATTTTAGTGGTCTACTAAATTAAATGTTTTGTTCAATATGGGCCAAATATCTACTTAACGAAAGCCTATTTTTAAACAAAATAACTTCTGAATGTTCTCTATCTAACAATTATATAGTTCGAATGCATGTAATATAACACATAAATAAGCTTATGCAATGTTTACCGCTGCTCATTGCGATAAGCTGGATACCAATGCCATTTAGTTTTGATCGCTAGACATAATGATTTCAGGTTAAACCACACGTTTCTAGGCTA